TTTTGGATTTTAAATGGCAGAAAAGGATAATTTTGTACTTGACGTTTTGACTGTCTTGTCTTCCCAACTTGTACATAAGATTCTTTGAGGGCAGAAACTTGATTTCACAAACTTCAACTTTCCTGGTGCCTCATAAATTGCCATGTATGATAGGCATTTAAAAATACACTACAAGTTTAATAAGCTTCTGATTATAAAGGTGGAGGATACAGTGTTAAGGTATTAGAAACATAGGAAGAGAGTCAGCATCTTCTGTATTTACTACCTAGATGTCATCACTGTTTTACATTTTGGAGTATATTTTTTAGTTTTTTTGCCCTAAACATTTGTGTGTATATAAAAATTTTAAAGAAAACGTTTTGAACCATTATATACTTTTTTCTTCCTAGCTTTATTTTGGCTCAAAAAATTTATTATACACTTAATTTTTATTCTTTGCTTATAGAACCCCCAAGTTTGATTTAGTTCATGTTGTTAAGTGTCATTGAGGAGGTTCCAACTCTCAAGTGAACCCTGTACAGAGTTTCTGAGGAGCAGCTGGGGTTTGAATTGCCGACTTTGCAGTTAGCAGTACACTGCTTGTCCTACAGTGCCACACTAGGACTCCAATTTGGTTCATGGCTACCCTGAAAAGGCCACATTCTCCCCAGTTCCTTTGCTATGGCTATGTGTCTAAAAACTTCCTAATGGGATCTAAGCAGAGTGGGTTTTTAAAATAGCTTTGAGGTATAATTTACATATTTACATATCAAATTCACTCACTTAATGAATTTTAAATAATTTACGCAATTGTGTGTCCATCACTACATCATTTTAGAATACTCCTGTTAATTCAATAAAGTGTCAGCATTTACACTTAATTTTATCTATTCACCAAGTACTATGAAGCTGTAAAGCCCCTGATTTTTGTTCACTGGCAATACACATACACAGAGCTATAATCTGTATTTTTGTTTTTTCTTTTGTATGTGCATTTCTAAGTCTTGTATTATCAGTTACCTCTACTATACCCCATTTATTTGGTTTATAATATGTACTATGTGAATCTTTGGTCTTGCTCTCAAGTATGTATATTCTATGATTTTATTGAGTTTTACTTGTTGTTAGTGCTATTTGGCAGTTTTGACTGACATTGACTATAGGGTTTCCAAAGAGTGGCTGGTGAGTTTGAACTGCTGAACTTGTGTTTCAAACCGACCTTGCTGGTCTAATGTTAAAACTACAGTGCCACACCAGATTTAAATATTTATTTGATAAATTGTTTAATATTTTATTGTATTTTGGCTGAAGGTTACACAGTTTAGGGTCCCATTCAACAGTTTCTTCACAGTTTATTCAGTAATATTTGTTACTTTCTTTGTAATGTGTGACCATTCTCAGTATATTCGTTCTGATCTGTTTCCATTTTCTAGTTTCCCTTCCCCCTTTAATCTTTGTTTTAACATAGTTGTTCAGTTTGGTCTCATAGTTGAATTTTTAAAGAAGTAGTGGTTACAAATCGGGCTGCGAACTACAAGGTCAGTAGTTCGAAACTACTAGCTGTCCCGCGGGAGAAAGATGAGGCATTCTGCTCCTGTAAAGATTTACAGCCTCGGAAACAGGGTCACAATGAATCGGAACCGACTCCATGGCAACAGCCACCCACAGTATTCACGGGTAATATTTTTCATTTTGTGAGCCAGTCTGTTTTTTAACTAAAAGGTAACCTCGGACTAGTTTCAGTTCACGCTTTAGCGTATCTTAAGGAAGGTCTTGGGGATTCCTCCAGTCTCAACCAGCTGAATAGAGCTGAGGGCTTTTTGTTGGTTTGTTGTAGGAGTTGGTGTTCTGTTCCACATTTTTCTTTCATCCTATCAGGGTCCATCTCTTGTAGCTCTGATCAGTATGGTCAGTGGTGGTAGCTGAACACCATCTAGTTCTTTGAGTCTCAGGGTAGATGAGGCTGTGGTTGTGTAGCCTGTCAGCCCTTGACTCTTTGGTTTCCTTCTTTCTTGTTTGTTCTGGATATGTAGAGAACAGTAGTTGTATCTTAGATGGGTGCGCAACAAACTAGGATGTAGAACTCAAATTTCATGAAATATATTATTACACCAATTGACCAAATGTCCCACAGAACTATGGTCCAAGTCCTTTAGATCCAGTACACCAATCCTGTAAGGTGTTTGGTTAAAGCTATCTAAGAAGTAGCCACAACTGTGCCGCCTCCTATGTTCTTTATTACATATATGAGGAGGCTTCAAAAAGTTTGTGCAGAAATTGTGTTATTACTCTATTTCACTGATTGTGATTTGGGTGAAGGTTTTATTCATCAGTTCATATACACTGATTTATCTTTGACTGCAGTCCCCACAACAAAGCATCACATAATCTATTTCCCAATGTTTCCTGGTTCTATTCCTTTTTTTTCCCTAACCTTCTGAACTTTGTTCTTGGGTAAATGCTGCTCTTATGATCTCAAGTGTGTGATCTGAAGTGTGTGTAACTCTCTAGTGTGATTGTTCCCCTTATAAGCCTATCTGATTGGTTGGCTGAAAACAGACATGGGGGTGAATTCATTTCTAGACCGAAAGCAAGACTGAGGGCCATGGTTGTCAGGGGGCCCAACAAACTATCTGACTGATATTTTTTTTTATGATTTTGAGTTTTGTTTCACGTTTTTCTCTCACTCTATCCGGGACTGTCTAATATGATCCATTTCAGAACAATTGGTAGTAGTAACCTGGTCCCATCTAGTTCTTCTGGTCTCAGGGTCATGGAGATTGATAATCATGTGGTTCATTAGTCCATTGGACTGATTGTTTCTATGTGTCTTCAGTGTTCTCTTTTACTTTTTATTATGAATTGAGTGAAGGTTTAGAGAACAAGATTAGTTTTCCATTTAACAATTCATACATATTTGGTTTCATTGCCTTGACTACAATGTAATAGCACTTATCCTGGTTCCTTCAGGTTTTCTGTTTCCATTCTTTCTCCTTTTTTATCTTTTCTGAACTCTGTCCTTGGGTGTAAATGCTGCCTTTTTAAATCTGAAATGGTTAATTACTTTAAGGTGTGTATACCTCCCTAGTGTTGTTCCCCTGATATACCCATGGGGTGAGTTTATTTCTAGACCTGAAGGGTTCCATTGTCTTTTAATTCTCTTTTTCCACAGACTTTTAGAAGTCCCCCCTGTGTGTGAATATGTGAGCATACAGTCACATACACAGGTACATGTTGTTGTTAGGCACTAGCAAGTGAGTTATGACTCATAGCAACCTTACACATAGAGAACAAAGCAGTACCCCATCTTGCACTATACTTAACAGTTGTTGTTTGAACTCATTATTGCTGACAGTGTGTCAGTCTATCTTGTTGGTGAGCTTTCTCTTTTTATTTATTTATTGGTTTTTCTTTTTTTAGTTGACCCTTCCATATAAACATGTTGTTTGTTGTTAAGTGCCGTTGAGTCAGTTCTGACCCATTTTGACTATGTATAGGGTTTCCAAGGAGCGGCTGAGAGCTTGAACCACCGACCTTGCGCTGACTTTTGCAGTTCAGTGTATTAACCCAAAGCACCACACCAGGACTCCACATATCTAGGTGGTTTTGGTGGTGGTGATGTGCCATAGAGTTGGTTCCAGTTCATAGCGACCCTGTACAGGGTTTCTGAGCCTATAAATGTTTACGGGAGCAGAAAGCTTCATCTTTCTCCTATGAAACAGCTGGTAGTTGCAAACTGCTGACTCTGAGGTTAGCAGCTGGATTTGTAACCACTGCGCTACCAGAGCTCATTACGTATATATGTAGATGTGTACATATGAGTCCTGGTGTGGCGCTATGGGCTAATGCATCAGACTGCAAAGTCAGTGGTTCAAGCTCACCAGCTGCTCCTTGGAAACCCTATGCAGGGTCGCTATGGGTCGGAATTGACTTGACAGCTCTTAACAACAACAACATGTACATATACATATACCAAAAGTCTACTTCCCTAAAGATTTATCACGTGGAAACCTAGAGGAGCAGTTTTGCTTCGTCCTGTAGGGTTGTTTGCAAAGTCAGAGGTTCAAACTCACTCCTTGGAAACCCTATATGGGCTCATTATAAGTCAGAACCAATTCAACAGTACGTAGTAACAACAACATAGGGTTACTGTGAGTTAAGAGTTGGGCTCGATGATTTTTATTATTGCTGAAAATTGTTCTTTATTTTATGCCAGCAAATGAATTACTATGCTGTTCATGTGGGATTTGCTCTAAAACTCAAGGCAGCTTATGCCTGATCAGTGCAAACACACACACAAACTAAATCACTTGCCCTCAAGTTGATTCTGACTCATAGCAGCCCCCTGTGTGTCGGTGTAGAACTGTGCTCCATAGGGTTTGCAGTGGCTGGCTTTTCTGAAGTTGATGACCATGCCATTCTTCTGAGGCGCCTGTGCCTCTGGGTAGACCTTTTGGTTAGCAGCTGACCATGTTAAATATCTGTACCACCCAAATCCTCTCTTAAGAACTTTCATTTCCAGCTGTGGAGTTTTTGTTATAATTCTGTAGGGGATCTTTTGTTAACCCTTTTTGGTTACTTTGAGCAATTTTTAACTTTATTTTTCTATATCTTTTTAATATCAAGGTACGCGTTTTTGTCTCCCTTACCTCAAAAAAAAAATTGGGAGTCCTGGTGTGGCGCTGTAGGATAAACACTGGACCACAAGGTCAGTTTGAACTGCAGTATATCGTGGTTCAGATCCACCAGCCACTCCTCGGAAACCCTATACAGGGTCGCTGTGTGTCTGAACTGACTTGATGGCACTAAACAACAACAATCTCAAAATTATCTCACCATTGTTTCTGAAAAGCCCATCTTCTGGGACCCTGTTTTAGCTAAGAGTCAGGCTTGTAGGCCTTACTGAAAACATGGTAGATAGATGATGTTAAGAGAGGGGAAGGCCCATGATATGAAAATGTTTTCTCTGAATTACTAGGTTTTCTTGTGCCCATCACCCAACCCTCATTTTTTTCTTTTAGGTTCTGTAGCAATGGAGCTCAGTGATGCAAACTTGCAAACACTGACAGAATATTTAAAGAAAACCCTTGATCCTGATCCTGCCATCAGACGTCCAGGTAAAGAGAGTGCATTTTGTTTTGTGCTTGTTTTATTTTTGAAGGGTGGAAGACAAGGTTTTATGAAATCTGCCTGTTTGTAAGTTTAAAAAACAAAACAAAAAAAACCCCAAAAGATTAGCACTTTGGTTCTCAGGCAGAGTTTGTTTTTCATTCTCTAGCTAAAACTTGTGTGGTTGACAGCTTATAGCTGCAGTGTCATTTAGTGTCTTCTGAGTACCCCTTATTCATCATCTTCTGGGAGAAGAATGCTTTGTTCCTTAGCCTTTCTGATAATCCTCACTTAAAACCTGCTTTATAAAAATAGAATAATTAGGAAAGAGAGATGAGAGTTAATTGCCTTAAAAAGTGATTAAGTGAATGAGATCAGGTAATCACTTAATCTCCATTTGGATTTGTTTTAATTAATTTATGATCTAAGGTTTCTTTTCTTCCTGAATTGGATTGCTTTTCATTAGAAACTTGGTACAAGTTTAGAATTGCAAAACCATATGCCAACAGGAGTTAGGGGTAAAGGTAAGTGAGGTAGGCAGACCAAGTATGGACATTAGCCATTGTATGAGCGCATGCCCTAGCTCAAGGGCGTATATTGGCAGATCCAGTCAATTGGGGGATTAGTAAAAGTTTTATAAGATAAGCTTTCTTCCATCTTTGCTTTAAAAATGAGGAAATTTATATGAAGTGCCCATCATTTTAAATGATAACTCACTTGAAGAGATTTTAAATCAGTTTATATCAAACTACTTCAGGGGGCCAGATACAGCCTGTGTAGTTATTTTTGTAATCCTCAATGTAAGCCATGTTGACCACAAACGCTCTTAACCTGATTCTTCAGAACCTACTATTGTGCCTACTCATAAAGATGATTTTAGGAAGTTACAAGTAAGTGTGTATGTGTGTGTTTTATTTATATGCTTTATAATAAATGGAATCCTGGTTTGGCACACCATGGGATAAGCACTGGACTGTTAACCAGAAGATACTCGGTTCAAACCCACCAGCCGCTCCTCGGAAACGATACATTATAAAGTCAGAAACGACTTGACAGCACTTAACAACAGCAACATATAATAATCAGAATCATGAATGTGTTAGTGTTTTTAGTGTCCTAGAAAAGCCTGTATGATTTCTAAGTGGGAGCTTTGTGATTTTCCCAATAATTCTTAAGTAATGTGTTTCTTGATAACAGAAGTTAATGACTTTAATCTTCTTAGACTTCCCCGGAAAGCTTTTGCTGGTGTTCTCTATTAAAAGTTATTATTATTATTATTTTTTTTATTGCATTGCTGAATCTTCCTTTTTTTTTTTGTAGTTTTTTATTTTTTTTTTTATTGAATTTTTGAAAGGCTAATGCTGTTTCTTTATGAATCCGAGTAAGAGTAAGAATAAACTGATGTTTCTGGGATGTTAGGAGCATGACGTTTCTCAGGGTTTGATACTAGACTAGCTGAACATCTTTATACAGTGATACGGAGGTGGGAATGTGGAGCAGATCACAGGTCACAGATACCCCTCTGCTCCCTTGATTATTTAGATGTTAGGAACGTGTCAGGATGAATATTGTGCAGGCAAGTTGAAGCTAATGAACACAGAAAGGAATAACTCAACTGAACTCATGGGAAGATTGCTTCCAGAACATTGGTTGCTGCTAAATGCTGTTTGAGTCAGTTCTGACTCATGGGGTTTCCATGGAGTGACTAGTGGGTTTGAGCCACCAACCTGGGTTGGCAGTCCAATGTTTATGTTACAAAAAGACTCCAGGAGATTGATTATATTTTAAGAAAGACACCTAGCAGTCTATGTGGACTTTTCCATAAATCATTGACACAGCATTTTGGCCTGTGCAAAATGCTGACCATTGAGTAGGGAAAATAATCCAAAGCCATATAGAATCATAGTGTGCCCACCTGAAATTAGATTTCATTTCAACAGTCCTCATCCTTCAAGACAGTTGGACACAATACAGGGAAGACTGTGTAGAGGAATGTATTCCACAAGGTAGAAAAATAAGGTTAAACATTTGAGACTCAGTCCTGAAAGAGGACAATGTTGAGTGGTATTACTAAATTCTAGGAAGAAAAAGAAACACTCTAGCAACTTTTCAATAAATATTAGCGTCTTAGAATAAGTGTCACCTCTCTTTGGAATGGGCACAAATATGGATCTCTTCCAATCAGTCGGCCAGATAATTGTCTTCCAAATTTCTTGGCAGAGATGAGTGAGTGCCGGTTCACTTTCTTGAAAGATTTCAATTTTTATTCCATCAATTCCTGGTGCCTTGTTCTTTGCCAATTCCTTCAATGCACCTGGGACTTCCTCCCTAAGTATCATTGGCTCTTGATCATCCTATGCTTCTTTTTGAAAGGGCTTGATGCTTTTTGCATTTTTTTTTTAAATTAAGTTGCTTTTTTAAAATTAAGAAAGGTATGCAACAAGGTTGTATTCTTTTACCATACTTATTCAACCTGTATGCTGAGCAAATAATACGAGAAGCTGGGCTCTATGAAGAAAAACATGGCATCAGGATTGGAGGAAGACTCATTAACAACCTGCAATATGCAGATGATACAACCTTGCTTGCTGAAAGTGAAGAGGACTTAAAACATTTACTGATGAAGATCAAAGAACAGAGCCTTCAGTATGGATTACATCTCAATGTCAAGAAAACAAAAATCCTCACCACTGGACCAATAAACAACATTCTTATCAACAGAGAAAAGACTGAAGTTGTCAAGGACTTCATTCTTCTTGGATCAACTATCAACACTCAGGGAAGCAGCAGTCAAGAAATCAAACAACATATTGCATTAGGCAAATCTGCTGCACGAGACCTTTTTAAAAGTGTTGAAGAGCAAAGATGTCAGCTTGAAGACTAAGGTGCACCTGACCCAAGCCATGGTATTTTCAATAACCTCATATGCATGTGAAATCTGGACTGTGAATAAGGAAGACCGTAGAAGAATTGATGCCTTTGAGTTATGGTGTTGGAGGAGAATACTAAAAGTGCCATGGGCTGCCAAAAGAACCAGTAGATCCATTTTGGAAGAAGTGTAGCCAGAGTGCTCCTTAGGCCAAGATGGCCAAACTTCATCTCTCATACTTCAGACATAGACATTTTGTCAGGAGGGACCAGTAAGGATATCATGCTTGGTAAGGTGTAGGGTCAGAGAAAAAGAGGAAGACCCCCAATGAGATGGATTGGCCAGGTGACAGCATTGATGGACTCAAGTGTGGCAACAATTGTGAAGTTGGCCCAGGATTGGACATTGTTTTGTTCTGCTGTGCATAGGGTCACTGTGAGTCAGTGCCAACTCAGTGGCACCTGACAACAACAAGAATAAGTGTTACCTTACAGAGCTGATAGGAAAAATTAAAACCATCTTGTTAGTAAACCTAGAAGTAGTATGGATTGAAAATATGTGGGTAAAATATTTATATAAATTCATAGGGAGTTTAGTATTAAGAAATTTTTGGTTCCAGGAGAAGTCTTAAGAGGAGTATGATGAATAAGGAGTGAACTAAAACTTTACCAGTGTTGAAGTTTCATAGATACATGATCTTGGGACAAGTTACTTAATTTCAGTGCCTTTGCCTTTAAAATGGAAATAATACTACCTACCTCTCTGGGTTGTTATTGTGTGCTGTCTAGTTGGTTCCACTCATAATAACCCTGTATAGTGTTTCTGAGAGCAGATGGTAGATTTGAACTGCTGACCTTGTAGTTAACCAATCTAGTGCTTATTTTACAGTGCCATACTAGGGCTCTTCTCTCTGAGTTGGTGATGGTGTTAAAGTGCTGTTGAGTTGGCTCCAACTTACAGTGACCCTGTGTGAGATTTCCAAGGAGTGGCTGATGGGTTTGAACTGATAATCAATTTAAATTTCATCACAACTTTATCGAATAAGTATTACTGCTACCACTGTTAATAATGATTAATTCTTTCTAGAATAAGACAAGGTGTTGTTGTTGGTAGATGCCATTGAGTCAGTACTGACTCATTGCAACCCTATGTACAACAGAACGAAACACTACCTGGTCCTGTGCCAACCTCAAAATCATTGTTACATCTGAGCCCATTGCTGCTGCCACTGTGCCGATCCGTCTTGTGGGGGTCGTTGTCTTTTTCTCTGACCCTCCACTTTACCAAACATGGTATTCTTCTCCAGACATTGGTCCCTCCTGACAATATGTCTGAAGTATGAGATACAAAGAATGCTCCTGGCTTCCAAGGAGCATTCTGGCTGTACTTCTTCCAAGACAGATTGGTTTTTAATTTTGGCAGTCCCTGGTACTGGTAATATTCCCCTCCAACAACATAACTCAAATGTATCAATTCTTCTATTGTCTTCCTTATACACTGTCTAACTTTCACATGCATATGAGGTTATTGAAAATACCATGGCTTGGACCAGGCACACTTTAGTCCTCAAACTGATAACTTTGCTTTTGAACACTTTAACAAGGTCTTGCAGCAGATTTGCCTAATGCAGTACGTTGTTTGATTTCTTGTTTAATGCTTCAATGAATGTTGATGGTTGTTCTGAGCTAAATGAAGTCTTTGACAACTTCAATTTTCATTTATATGGATATTATTTTTTGATCTAGTGGTGAGGATTTTTGTTTTTTTTTTTATATTGAGATGCAATTCATACTAAAGACCTTTGAGCTTCATCAGTAAGCACTGTGAAGTCCTCTTCACTTTCAGAAAGCAAAGTTGTATCATCTACATATCACAGATTATGAATGAGTCATCCTCTAGTCCTGCCATGTTTTTCTTCTTATAATCCACTTTCTCGAATTATTTGCTCAGCATATACAGATTGAATAAATATGGCGAGAGAATACAACCCTGGCGCACAGCTTTTCTAGTTTTAAACCATTCCTGTCTTCTATTCGAATAGCTGACTCTTGATCTGTGTACAGGTTTCTCATGAGCACCACTAGGTGTTCCGGAATATTCATTATCCACAATGTTGTCCATAGCTTGTAATGATCCACGTAATTGAACACCTTTGTGTAGTCAATAAAGCAGAGATAAAAACTTCTTTTTAGTATTCTGTGCTTTCAGCGAAGATCCATCTAATGTCAGCAGTGATAATATCCCTCATTCCATGTCCTCTTCTGAATTCAGCTTGAACCTCTGGAAATTCTCTGTCAGTATACAGTTGTAGCCATTTTTGAATTATCTTTAGCAAAAATTTACTTGCATGGGATATCAGTGGTATTTTTCAATGATTTCTGCATTCCATTGGGTCACCTTTCTTTGGAGTGGGCACAAATACGGATCTCTTCCTTTCAGTTGGCCAGGTACTTGTCTTCCAAATTTCTTGGCGTAGATGAGTGAGTGCCTTCAGTGCTGCATCACTTTGTTGAAAGATTTCAGTTTGTATTGTATCAGTTCCTGGTGCCATATCCTTTCAGGGCACCTTAGATTTCTTCCTTCAGTATCATTGGCTCTTGATCATCCTATGCTTCTTTTTGAAAGGGTTGAACATCCACCATTTCTTTTTGGCACAGTGAGTTTGTGTACTCCTTCCTTCTTCTTTTGATGCTTCTGCATCATTCAATAATTTGCCCATAGAATCCTTCAATATTGCAAGTTGAGGCTTGGCAGGTTTGTTTTTTTTTCGTTCCCTTAGCTTGAGAAATTGCTTAGCGTGTTTTTCCCTTTCTGGTTTTCTAACTCTAGGTCTATGCACATTTCATTATGATATTTGACTTTGTCTCCTTGAGCTGACCTTTGAAAATTCTATTCATCTCTTTTCCTCCTCATTTCTTCCATTTGTTTTAGCGTCTCTATGCTGGTGAACAAGTTTCAGAGTCTCTTCTGACATCCATTTTGGTCTTTTCCTTCTTGTCTTTTTTTTTTTAATGTTTTATTGTGAATTATATGATAGTTTACATGGAAGAACAGTAGCTTTACATTCATCCTATCATATATTGTTTTATTGCCATGGTTACAATCCCCTCCATGCATCATCAACTAACCAAAGGGTATACCATGCAAGCCTGCCCCCTGGTTGTCAGCACACAGCCCCTCTTCCTCTCTGGGTCTAGAGTCCCTAGCTGCTCCATCTTTCCACGTCATTGTCTCTGCCTCCATCTCTGGCGTCACTGATTTTCTAGGTAGGGTCTCCCACTCTGCTCTTCTCCCTTGATGGTCCCAGGGTCCTCCACTCCTGGACTGCAAAGTTAACCACTCCCCTCTTTTTGCTACAGAACATTTACCTTTACATTTCCAGCCCTCACAGTCAGTCCTGATAGTAATTATTCACTATTGTACCACAAGAGTCCTATCCCCATCTCCTTTCATCAGTCCCTCCAAGACAGATTGGATACTACTCAGTGGAGATTCTACCTTCCTCTGTGCCCTCTAGATCTAGGCTCCCTCTTGAAAGCTTGTAAGCCATTCACTTCTTGCCTTTGTAGCTTGCTTGCCCTCCCTTCCCCCATTTTGGGTAGCCTACTTTCTTGTCTTCCTAATGACCTTATGCTTTCTTCCTGTATAATGTTCTTGATGTCATTCCACAGCTCTAATGGTTTTCAGTCATTTAGTGTCTAATGCATCAAATCTGTTTTCAGATGATTTCTAAATTCAGTTGGGATATATTCAGGGTCATATTTTGGCTCTTGTGGACTTGTTTTAATTTTTTCAGCTTTAGCCTGAATTTGCATAGGAGTAATTGATAGTGTCTTCCACAGTTTGCCCCTGGCCTTGTTTTGGCTGATGATGTGGAGCTTATCTATGGTCTCTTTCCACAGTTATAGTTAGTTTGAGTTCTGTGTATTTCATCTGGTGAGGTCCATGTGTTTAGTTTCTTTTATGTTGTTCAAAAAGGTATTTGCAGTGAACAAGTCATTGGTCTTACAACATTCTCTCTTGGAATCTTCAGCATGGTTTTTATGACCAAGGCTATATCTCCCAACTGATCCTTCCTCTTTGTTTCCAACCTTTGCATTCCAATTGCCAATAATGATCACTACATCTTGATTCCATGTTTGATCTATTTCAATTGATTCTTCAATTTCATCATCACTGGTTTTAGTGTTTGGTGCATAAATTTGAATAGTAGTAGTATTAACTGGTCCTCCTTGTAGATGTATGGCTATAATTCAGACAGCATTGTACTTCAAGACAGATCTTGATTTTTTTTTTTTTTGATGATGAATTCAACGTCATTCCTGTCATAATAAACCCATGTGATTATCAAGATTCAGAATGACCAGTGCCAGTTCATTTCAGCTAAGTAATGCTTATTGATGTTTATATGTTCCACTTCATTTTTACAATCTCCAAATATCCTAGATTCAGACTTTGTACATTCCATGTTCTAATTATTAATGGACGTTTACAACTGTTCTTCTTCATTTTGAGTAGTGTGTCCCGTCAGCAAATGAAGGCTTTATTCTGTTTTTGTCATCACGGTCAATTCTATTTTCAAGAGACAGCTCTTCCTCGGTCACATTTTGAGTGTCTTCCAACCCCAGGGGCTAATCTTTGGTGCTATATTTGATATTATTATAGTGTTCTTCATCATGTTTCAATATTTAAAATTCTGGTGCTGACAGTGTTCCACTATTATTCATGTGTTTTCAGCGACTAAATATTCAGAAGTCTGTCACCTTCTTAGTCTGTCTTCATTTGGAAGTTCAGCTGTGGGTGACCCTGTGGATATTTATAGTGATAGTCCTTTCTAGAACAAGACAAAGTACAGGCAGTATATTATGTTAAAGATGTTTTAGTTAATCTAGAAGTGTTTAGTATTTTCATATATAGAATGGTTTACTTTATACTAAGATACATCAGAATTAGGTGAGCTAATAGTGATTTTAAATGGAAACATGTACATTTAAGGTGTATTAAGGTAATGCATAACTGATTGAATGTTGTTGTTGAAGTGCCCTCACCTCAAGCTGGTTCCAAATCATAGCCACCCTGTGTAGAGTTTCCAAGGAGCGGTTGTTGGAATCACCAACCTTGCAGTTCAGACCCACCTTGAGTTTATGCTTATGTTATGGTGCCTCACCAGGACTCTGACCCATTTAGTAGATAAGAAAACTAAGACCCAGTGGAACAGTGCTTGTTTTTTAAAAGGAAAATAACCTAATCTTTACTTTTTTAAAAAAATATTTCAAGCTTAGAGATACATAGAGATAATTAACATCTACATAAAGCGGAAAAGGATTTTGATTATAAAGTTTTTTTCTAACATGAAAATTCTTTTACAGCTGAGAAGTTTCTTGAATCTGTAGAAGGAAACCAGAATTATCCACTGTTGCTATTAACATTATTGGAAAAGTCTCAAGATAATGTCATCAAAGTGTGTGCTTCAGTAACATTCAAGAACTATATTAAAAGGAACTGGAGAATTGTAGGTATTTTGTTACTACCTAATTTAGTGCCCTGCATGCTTTTAAGATTTCTATGAGATAGGTTCCTAAAGCATTTCAGAGATTAAAAATAAAATTCGGGAAGGCTGTGTCCCCAAACTGTTATTTCACATTAATTTATATGCAAGGGTGAATCAAAAATTACCTGCATTCTGGCTCTAGAAATTATTTGAATCCACTTTTAGACAAGACAAATACATCATTTTTCGACATAATCTCCGTGCTTTTCAGTTCACTTTGTCAACAATCTTTTGTATTCCCTTAATAAAATATGTCCCAGGCCAAACTGCAAACTACAAATGCACTGCTGTCTTCTTCATCTGAGATGAATCTTTGTCCTCAAAGGGCTGTTTTCACCTCAAAACAAACTTTTTGCAGTGTGTCAATATTGTGGGCAGGGCACTATGTCAGGACTTGCATTGTCATGCAAGATCCCAGTGCCCTTGGCTAGCAGTTCTCTGCGTTTAATCTGAAGTTTAGGCTTCAGCCCTTCAGTGAGCATCTCACTGTAATGAACACCACTGTTGGTTGTTGAACTTTTTTCCTAATTGTGCTCCAAAATTGGCCCCTGAAAATCCCAGAAAACTGTAAGCATTTTCCAACTGATAATGGTCGACTTTTGAACTTTTTCTTGGTTAGTGATCGAGGATGTTTCCATTTCATACTCTGCCATTTACTCTCAGGTCTGTGTCTCATCACCAGTAATGATGTATCTTTAAAGAAACTTTTACCTTCCAGTATTAGTGCAAATGTTGTTTTGCATATATCCAAATGCTTCTGTTCTTTCGTGAGCTGTTTCTGTACCTTATCTTGCAAAACTTTTTGAAACCCAAGTTTGTTGTGGATTATTTTATTGGTAGAACCATGGTTGATCAGCCAATGATTTGCCACATAATCCACTGCTACTCGTCTGTTTGACAGAATCATTTCATGTGCACACTCAGTGTTACCATCAGCTGTTGATGTGGTTGGGTGTTTTAATGTAACTGGAGTACAGATAATTTTGGACTCACTCTCACAGGTAGCTTGTTAGGGTTGAAATGCAATTAGCTCTCTATCTAGTGAGATACTGTATGGGAGGATACTGCCTACATGAGTAATTGGAGTAATTCCTTTTGTGTACTAGGAAAAATTAAAGATGAAAAAATTTGCATTAGATATAGAAACTTTTGTAGCTTGCATAATTATTTCAGATTTATAGTTTTTGATAATGACTTTCATTCTGTTTTATGGAGTATGCCCGTAGATCTCATTTTAAGAAATCCGCGTCTTCCTTGTCTTTGTGAAGACAGTGGTTCTCAGTCAGGAGTGATTGGCCTTCTACAACAAAGCATTATTCGGCCTAGAATGTCAGTAGTGCTGAGGTTGAGAAACTTTGACTTAAATAAATAACAAATGTTACTGTTTTGTAATGGTGACAGTGATGATACTGCAGAAATTACTAATGTTGACCAAAATGGTCAAATTTTTCTAAAATGTCAACTTTTTAAACTTGCTTATGTATTTATTTAGAGTCTTGCTTTTTCCCTCCCTTCCACAAAGAATAAAATAACAGCAAACAGGAGGCAACTTCAAAAAGTTTGTGGAAAAGTGTAATTAAAAGGTAATGGACTTTCTCCACAAGTTTTTGAAGCCCCTCATACTGTTTTCAAGTTCATATAATTAGTCTTGTCACCACATGTGGTAAAAGAAATGAGTTAGTCCTAGTAAGTCTGACTCTTCACATGCAGGCATGCTAGCTAACTTCTCCCTTCATTTGTAAAATTGGTGAGACTTATAGAACCTCTTTGGGTAATGTAGTTCAGGATGCATTCTAACTCATAATGGTCAAGAAATTTTCCTTAAAAAGACCTTTGGCTCAAGGTGTCAGGTTGAAGTTTTTGAAGGTGAATATGGATTAGGTGACATTTTTATAAAGATTTTAACCATATGTTCTCATTTGTTTACATCGAGAACGGACATGAAAGAGTCAGCAGCTCCTTAATTTGTTTACAAAATACTTGCATTTAGAACTGGGAAAATGTTATTTTTCTAGGAAAGGAGTTACATGTTTTTATTAGATTATTAAAGGAATTTGTGACCCACTCATGTAGAGGGAAATGAAGGGAAGGCCACCCCTACTTTTTTTGTGTGCCATTTTCCATGTTTTTCTTAGATAACCAGGAAATAAAAGGTGAAAAAAGTGATGCAGTCCATAAACGTGGATATCAGTTTTATATTACTTGCTCATTGGTGTTTTGCTCTTAGGTTGAAGATGAACCAAACAAAATTTGTGAAGCTGATCGAGTAGCTATTAAAGGCAACATAGTGCACTTGATGCTGAGCAGCCCAGAACAGATGCAGAAGCAGGTAACAGGGTTCTGCTTTTTAGGGAGACTTATTTGTAATGCTTTACCTCATTAACCCTTTCCTCCCCCAGCTAAGTGATGCCATAAGCATTATTGGCAGAGAAGATTTCCCTCAGAAATGGCCTGACCTGTTAACAGAGATGGTGAATCGCTTTCAGACTGGAGATTTTCATGTTATCAATGGGGTCCTTCGTACTGCACATTCATTATTTAAAAGGTAATGGTTTACAAATTCATACTTTTAAATCACTTTTCAAACACATAGGGGTTTAATTTGTGACATTTGTCACACCCTAGAATTAGAACATAAAGAGCTTCAGTTCATTTTCATTTTTGTTTCCAACTTGACTCCACATTGCTGCCTATAAGCCGAACCAGTTGCCAGTTCTGGCTCCTGGCAGTCCTTTTTTGCTTTTGCTTTTGCTTTTCTTCAGTAGAACTGGCTCCGTTAGATTTACCTGTGAGATACATGGTCTTAATAAACTGTGTGATTCCTTAAGAAAAAAAAACAACCCCCAGCCATACTCTTAGAATTTCAGAAAGGCCTCTAGTCATAGTTTTTCTTTAATTAACCTTTATTCCAGACGATTCATGTGATTAAACAAAACATTTTTAATTTATCTCTTTTATCTTAATTATCTAGATACCGCCATGAATTTAAGTCAAATGAGTTATGGACAGAGATCAAGCTTGTTCTGGATGCCTTTGCCTTGCCTTTAACTAATCTATTTAAGGTATGAATTATTTTGGTGGTAACTTTAATTTTATTAATGTTGTGATTTCCTTAAAATTTGTGTAAATTTTAAACCTACATAATAATAGAAAGGAGTCCTGGTATGGCTCCACGGTGTAAGCACTTGACCTCAAGGTCGATTTGAACTGCAAAGGTGGTGGTTCAAATTCACCAGACACTCCTTGGTCAGAACCGACTCCACTGCACTTCCACAACTCCATTAACAGTAGAGAATGGTGTGAATTCTCATGTATGTATTACACAAGTTTAACCAATGTTTTATTGGATTTTTATTTTAACTCCCCCCTTCTTTTGTAGAAACATTAATAGGCAGATCCCAAGTATTTTACCCATAAATAACTTGAATATATATAGAGTCACATTTTGATTTGACTGTTTATGGATTTTGATTAATGGGGATACATCATTTTATAGTACAGAGGCTATTTTCTTGTTTGATCCATGTGAGAAGCATTTAGAATTTAAAAGGAAACAAATATGTTGTTCTCTTCCTCTTCCAGTTAAGGAAAGAAGTTTACTGTCACATGGTTACTAAGTAAGGGAACCAGGCCTCAAACCTAGTTGTGCTTACTGTAGAAAAGCTGTTCATTTCTTTTTTTCTGCAGTTTAACATGCTTCTGGGATTTTCATGGTAACATGTTTTACTGATAGTACATTTTTACGTGTAGACAAAGTGTTATTAGCCAGAGAGTAGGGAAATAAACTCTTGGGTGTTCTGTCCCTTGGACTGTAACTGGGACTACTTTTCTGAAGACCAGTTTGGCATTGCATTGGGAAAAGTCTTGGGAGCACAATGGCTCTATAGGCTAAGCATTGGACTTTGAACCATGAGGTCTTGGTTTGAGCCCATCATCTACTTTGCGTGAGAAAAATGAGACTTCAGCTGCCACAAAGATCTAAAAACAAATTTTTAAAAGCCTAAGAAACTCTATGCATGGTTGCTTTGAGTAGGAACATACTCCAGGGCGCTTAGTAACAAGAAAAATCTTAATATTCGTACTTTTCAACTCCAAATCTAAAATCCACTGCTGACAAGTCCATTCCAACTCATTGAAACCCCATAGGCTTTCTAACACTGTAAATCATTAAGGAGGCAGACTGCCTCGTTTTCCCCTGGAGCGGCTATTGTGTTCAGTCGTTGCCTTTTCTATTAGCAGTTCAATGTTTAACTCACTCTGAGACCAGGGCCTTTTATTGATTTTATTGTCTCTTGGACAGAACAAATAACATTTGTTGAGTGTCTTTTACATACCAGATGTGCAACATGTACTGGGACCATTTATGTGTACTTTCTCATTTTTACTCCCACTCTATGAGATAGGCATTATTCTTCTATTACAGATGTGGACATTGGAACACAGAGTAAATATGTTCCAGTTAGTGCTCGTTATGAGTAACAGAGTCTAGGTTGTATCTAGCTCTATCTGACTTCTAAAACCTGAGCTTTTATCATACTATGCTGCCATGTAGTACACTTCTAGGGTCTCTGGCTGAAAATGAGAAGTATGCATGAAGTTTTCTATGTAAGCCTGTTTATTACAATATACACAGAACAATGAATTACCGAAACCAAAGCTAAGTGGAAGAATTACGTAATGAGCTCATCAAAACAAATTTATGAAAATTTCATATGTACTTATTCAGTCTTTGTGTGTATAATGTATACATTCATTGTGTATATTAAATAATCTGAGAAATTGGACTATATGAAGAAAAATGTGGCATTAGGATTGGAGGGGGCAGCTCATTAACAACTTTCGATATGAAGATGACAACCTTGTTTGCTGAAAGGAAGAGGACTTGATAACACTGCTGCCTAAGATCAATAATGAAACGATCAATATGGATTGCAACTCAATGTAAAGAACAAAAGCCCTCACAATTGAACTAATAATAATAAACCACATTATGGTAAAGGGAAAATATTGAAGTTGTCCGGGATTTCATTTGATTTTCAGATCCACCACAATCAATGCTCCTGAAAGCAGTAGTCAAGAAATCTGTATTGGGCAAATCTGCTGCAAGAGACCTCTTTAAATTGTTCAAAAGTAAAGATGTCACTGTAAGAACTAAGGTGAGCTTAACTCAAGATACAATATTTTCAGTCGCCTCATGTGCATGTCAAAGCTGGACAATGAATAAGGAAGACTGGAAGTGAATTGATGCCTTTGAGACAATATTGTTTGCAAAGAATATTGAAAATACCATGGACTGTCAGAATAAATACAGCCAGAATGCTTCTTAAAGTGAGAATGGCGAGACATTGTCTCCTGTATTTTGGATATTATCAGATGAGACCAGACCCTGGTAAAGGACATTATGCTTCATGGAGTGAGTGTCAGTGAAAAAGAACGAGGCGGATTGACTCAATGACAGCAACAATGGGCTCAGAGAACAACCGTGAGGACAGTGGCACAGGACTTTGTCAGAGCCGACTCGATGGCACCGTAACAAAAATAACAACAGAGAGACACATTGGAAAGATTTACTTTAAAGTAGTAACATTAGACTTTTCTGTAGTTCTAGTTATGGACTTTGGATTCAGAAGAGGCCGTGGAACGAGAGACATCATTGCTGATGTCGGATGGATCTTGGCTGAAAGCAGAGAATACCAGAAGGATGTTTACCTGTGCTTTATTGACTACACAAAGGCTTTCGATTGTGTGGATCATGACAAGCTATGGACAACATTGAGAAGTATGAGTATTCCAGAACACTTAATTGTACTTCTGAGAAATCTGTACCTAGACCAAGAAGCAATTGTTCGAACAGAACATGGGAACACTGAATGTTTTAAAATTGGGAAAGGTGTGAGACAGGGTTGTATTCTTTCATCATACTTATTCAACCTGTATGCTGAGCAAATAATACGAGAAGCTGGGTTCTATGAAGAAAAATGTGGCATTGGGATTGGAGGAAGACTCATTAACAACCTGCAATATGCAGATGATATAACCTTGCTTGCTGAAAGTGAAGAGGACTTGAAACATTTATTTATGAAGATCAAAGAGCACAGCCTTCGATATGGATTACATCTCAATGTCAAGAAAACAAAAATCCTCACCATTGGACCAATAAACAACATTCTTATCAGTGGAGAAAGAATTGAAGTTGTCAAGGATTTCTTTCTTCTTTGATCAACTATCAACACTCGCGGAAGCAGCAGTCAAGAGATCAGACGACGTATTGCATTAGGCAAATCTGCTGCACAGGAACTTTAAAGTATTGAAGAGCAGAGATGTCAGCTTGAGGACTAAGGTTGCGCCTGACCCAGGCCATGGTGTTTTCAATAGCCTCATATGGATGCGAAAGCTGGACAGTGAATAAAGAAGATCGTAGAAGAATTGATGCCTTTGAGTTGTGGTGTTGGAGGAGAATACTGAAAGTGCCAAAAGAACCAATAGATCTGTTTTGGAAGAAGTGCAGCCAGAGTGTTCCTTGGAGGCCAGGATAGCTAAGCTTCGTCTCTCATACTTTGGACATATTGTCAGGAGGAAGCAGTCGCTGGAGAAGAATGTCATGCTGGGTAAGGTGGAGGGTCAGAGAAAAAGAGGAAGACCCCTAACGAGATGGATTGGCCAGGTGGCATCGTTGATGGACTCGAGTGTGGCAGCGGTAGTGAGGTTGGCCCAGGATCGGACATTGTTTCATTCTGCTGTGCATGGGGTCGCTATGAGTCGGTTCCAACTCATTGGTACCTGACAACAACAACTGTATGGACTTAAAAATAGGTTTTTAATTTTCAAAAATCTCTACAGTGACCCTCTACTATTATTTATAGGTCAATTTTCTGGGACTGTCAGTAGTGTCAGCATAGTGCAAGGCCTTGTCACCAAGGTACGTGTTCTAGATTTACAATTCACTAAAATCATGTGCTTAAATTCTCTTCTTTCCCAAGGCTACTATTGAACTCTGCAGTACCCATGCAAATGATGTCTCTGCCCTGAGAATTCTTTTTTCTTCCCTGATTCTGATCTCAAAACTATTCTATAGTTTAAACTTTCAGGTAAGTTTTATTTTTCACTTTTTTTTCTATTTGATGGTATCCTTTTGAGCTACATTGAATTTTCTAATATTAAAAAAATGCCCTTTTTTCTGAGTTCCCCCCATTCTTTATCCACCTTAAGAATTTAGCTGAGTGTTACTCTAGGGTTAAAAAGAATTACAGATCACCAGATATTTAAAATATATTGAAACAGAATTTCACAAGTAAGTGTTCTACTTTATAAAAGTTCTAGAGTTTTATGGGAAAAAGTAGCAATCTCTTATAGTTAAGTAAATTTGGGAAACCCTATATCCTGATTCACATTTTTGAAGGGTCACTTTGTATACACCATTCTGTTGAAGATACTAAGAAATCCGATTTCCTAGGTTCTCTCTTAACTCATTTTGTCTTTGGGGAAACCATGTTTTGATTAGGATCCTTGGTTCCCAGGAATAGATAAAATCATTGCTAGCTTATACACTTTTATGGGAGGCCTATAGGGGAGATTGGCAAATACAACAGAAGGCTAAAGAACGAAGCTTTGGAAGGGATAAAAATCAAAGCATATCAACGGAAACAGCCACAGTTGGTTGCTACTGAGTTAGTGACCTCTGATCATCTGTCTGTTCTTGAGCCATTGAGACTCCGAGAGTAATGACTTTATTAGTGCAGTTTAGTATAGCTAGTTACAAGAGGAAGAATCCAACCTCTAGACTGTGCATAGTAATTGCCAAGTACCTAGACTCACCCTGACAACGTGATTACACTCGCCAATAGTGTAAACCATTCCCCAAATGAAAAGTGACTTCTTTCAGGCCAGAAAAATGCAGATGGACATGTGCACAGCAGTTCGGACAAACTTACTACTGCTATTTTTGCGTATCTCTCCTTTTGAATTTTCTTCTGAAAAGTCATGTAAAATGAGATTCTTAACTTCCCTAGGCATAGTTGGAGAGAGAGAAAAACCTAGCCTTAAATTTTAACCTCAGAGAGCTTATCTCTTGTTGAGAAAGCAGTACTATATTCAGGAAATAAGTGATACAGGAAGGAAAAGAAATAAGCACTGAGTTTTAAAAGGCTTCAAACAGTCTTAACTGCACCTTGAAGACTAAGCAGATTTGGAATGGAGGCAAGAAGTAGAGGGGGGCAACACTTGTGACAAATGATCTTAGCAGAAGCAAGAATCAGAATGGTGTATTCTGGTGCCAGACATAGGTAGAGCAGAGAATTCTTGTCATAATAGATACTGTTGGCTCAGACCAAGAAGTTTGGCAATTGGACATCTTTGAGGTCGTGGTGAAAATGTTTTCAAATGGAAGTCCTAAGTCAATGTTTATTTTTTAGGATCTTCCTGAATTTTTTGAAGATAATATGGAAACTTGGATGAACAACTTTCATACCCTCTTGACATTAGATAATAAACTTTTACAAACAGATGTAAGTATTGTTAGAAATGTTGCCCATGTAGCTTAAAAAAAAAAAAAGTATTCTTTGAATGCTGTGGAAGTCAGTTATTGACGTTTAGAAAATTGAGTAAGTTATATATTGTTATGTGCCGTTGAGTCGATTCCGACCCATAGCGACCCTGTATAGTGTTTCCAAGGAGCAGCTGGTGAGCTTGAACCATCGATCTTACAGTTCAAATTGTCGGGGACCTGCCTCGACATAGGAATTTGGTTCACGAGGTGGGGATATCTGGCAGCGATAAAGATATAGAAAGAATACACAGAAAGATACAAAGAGGGAGACAAAGAGATACCCCGAAACCAGAGTGGATGCAGGAGTGGCATCAGGCAGATCCTGCATTGCAAACATCTCAGCCATGAAGGCTGTAATATCCTGCATAGTAGACATCTTGGCTAAACAGGCAGTATGGTTGCAATGCTGGACTGAGCCCCCTGCATGCTGTAATGCACGCCTTGCCAATCGTAATGCACCTGGATTTGTTCTGCGCCTCTGTTTTATTTAGGGGAGGTACTTTACCCAAAGCTGGGCGGTACTAAGGCAGGGTACAGCTAACATACATAATTTTCCAGACATTCAGGCCTCTTTACATCATACTTTGGCAGGTTCGGATTTCATGACAGCAACTTGGTTTCTCAAGCTTAATTAACATACCTTTTAGCACCTAGCCTTAAATGGAGGAAGGAAAAGGAGGATTGAGAGGATTCCCATTGTGTTGGCTGCCTGGGCCAGGTTTGCAGGAAGAAGTGAGGAGCCTAGGTGAATGGGCTGCACCTGGAAACACTTTAGGCAGGGCAGTTCTTTTGTTCTTAGAACAGAGACAGGGAGCCACCCAATTTTCTTTGAATGAATTCTCTGAGGGAAGACTTTGCCTTTTTGGAATTTTACAGTTTTGGCTTTTAGGAAAATACTACATTTATCTGTGGATATCAAGGTTTTATGTATGCACTTAATAATAAACCTAACTGAATACTAAGATGAAAAACAGTTTGCTATAAGTGCTAGGTGGCTAGAGTCTGTTCCTCAGAGCCTGCGGCCTGTACGGTCTGCAACACTCGGGCCCACAGGGCCTCGAACTCCTGACCTGGTCTGCACGGTCTGCAACATCAAATGACTTTGCAGTCTGACGTGCATTAGCCCACAGTTACTTAGCTAATGCTAAATGTTCTCAAATACGCTTATTCATCTCAAATACTCATTTACTCTTGCGTTGTTAATGGACAAAATTCCAATAATGCAAGTGATACTTGATTCTGTTAGATGTTCCATATTTAGTGATGTGTAGTATACAGAATTGGGGGTGTCTGATAGCTCCATAGGATAAGCACTGGACTGCAAACCACAAGGTCAGCAGTTTGAGCGTCCAGTTAGTCCATGGGCGAAAGATGACAATTTCTACTCTTGCAAAGATTACAGCCTGAGAAACTCGATGCAGGTTCTCTATGAGTCAAAACCAGCGCCATGGCACTTAACAGCAACTGGATTTTCTTATTTTTAGGGAGGCAAGGGAGATTAATGGGGAAATGCAAGACAAACATAAGGAAAAGTGTGTCTGCAGGATTATCGAGGTTATATTTTCAGTATCATTTATAAATACTGTATAATTCAGCAACCAGATATAAGGCTAAGGCTTTGGTTCAGAACTTCAGAGTGATTCATAGTGATCAAAGACTAGTGAATCATTTGAGGGTGGCATGGAGGTACCTGGGAACACCTGACTATAGATTCTAGTTCAGGAATCTCCACTCTCCATATTTATGGTAGCGTTAAAGTTTGAGTTTTCTGTTTTTTCCTTTGTGAGGATGAAGAGGAAGCAGGTTTATTGGAGCTTTTAAAATCTCAGATTTGTGATAACGCTGCACTCTATGCACAGAAGTATGATGAAGAATTTCAGCGGTACTTGCCTCGTTTCGTCACAGCTATCTGGAATTTACTAGTTACAACAGGCCAGGAGGTTAAATATGATTTGGTAAGATGATAGAGACAAATAATTAAAAGACATTTCTCTACCTCACCTTCTCCAGGAAATAAAATCATTCAACTTTGCTTTGCCTCTAATAATCTTATTTTTTATGTTTTATTCCAGTTGGTAAGTAATGCTATCCAATTTCTGGCGTCAGTTTGTGAGAGACCACATTATAAGAATCTGTTTGAGGACCAGAACACGCTGACAAGTATCTGTGAAAAGGTTATTGTGCCTAACATGGAATTTAGAGGTAATTATCGTGGAATATAAAGTTTTTTCAGGGGATTAAAAGCTTTCAGTGAAAGAAAAAGTCTGTTAGTGTAAAAATTGATATTTTCTTCTTGTTTCTCTTTGTTATGTATTAGTCTATTTTTTAATTAGTAAGTAAAACCTCTTGTTGTACATTTATTTCCTGTTTTCTAAATGTAAACAGAAAATGTGACGTAAAAGGACTTTGTGATAAAATACTGTTATTAAGAGTTTTTTTTTGCGCTGTGGAGATTTTTTCTTGGAAATACTGTTAACATTGAAAAATGGTCTCAATTTAATGAAAGAACTTGGTTTTGTTAGCTTTAAAGTTTAGGTGACTTGAGAATAGCAGTGAGTGAAGCCCACTTCGTTTTTACCTGAAGTGTGATTGTATACAGAATGTCCTTCTGTCTCACAGTTGGGAAGAGCACGTAGTGACAGTGGAAGGGATTTTGCAAAGCAGTTATTAGATCAGTGGTTCCCAAAATACCAGTCTGCAGCACAATGAGGAAAGTAAGGCCAGTGTGTGGTGTTTTGTGTTTTCATAAACTTACATTATTAGTGTTAAGGATTAATCTTTATTCTGCTGTTATCCATATTTTTTTTTGGTGTTGAAATGGTTGTTATGCTGTAGTGGTGATAAAGTTGTGAGGGTTTTTTCCCCCTTTTTTTAATGTCTGTGTGTGACAAACTAAAAGGCTGACATTCCCCGGAGTGGTCCCCAACATTTAATTTGTACAATTAGTTGGTGAGACCCAACTCCAGGACCCTGCCATATTAGAATAAGTGAGCCTATATCACAGTTGTTAAATTTCATAATGGTTTTCAGGGTGGTAATTGCTGCTCAGGGTGTTGATTAAGTATATGTAAAGTAGTCGTGTAGTGATAAATTATTTATTGCAGTTTTTTCTGTGCTCATCTGCATATTGAATTGTAACGTACACTACAATGATTGTCATGGTTTTAAGGCGCTTATCTGAAATACCAACTCTATTTTAGCTGCTGATGAGGAAGCGTTTGAAGATAATTCTGAGGAATATATCAGAAGAGATTTGGAAGGATCTGGTGTGTATTTTGGTCCTTAATTTTTGTGGTCTCTTAGTAAGCCTGTTTTCAGATTGTTCCCTGTCTGGTAAATGTGAAGGATAGTGGGGTCGGATAGGGGTGTCATCTTGACCGCCTCTCATTGAAAGGTGTTTTTCTGATTAAACATGTAAACCTTACAAAGCAGGTCTTCTATGAGCTGCCAGCACATATCAAAGGTTGAATCCCTTGTCTTCCCTTTCTAATTCCCTAACGTGTTCCTCACATTACTGTGGCCTCGCTTTTATAGTCTCATTCTTGTCTTGTGTGTCATTAATTTGTGTTGCTGATAGCTTGTTGTTAGGTGCCATCAGTCCGATTCGACTCACACGACGACCTTATGCACAACAGATGGAAATGCTGCCTTGTCCTACGCTAGCCATTCTTACAGTCAACCCATTGCTGCTGCCTCTGGGCCAGTCTGTCTGGCTGGGAGTCGTCCTCTTTTTCCCTGACCCTCCACTTAGCATGATGTCCTTCTCCAGGATTGGTCCCTAGCTATCAGATGGCAGTTTGTTTTCTTATAAACTTTATCAATGTTTGGTGGTGATTACTTCTCCCAAGATCATGTTTCCATTTGGTTTTATAGATATTGATACTAGACGCAGGGCTGCTTGTGATCTTGTACGAGGATTGTGCAAGTTTTTTGAGGGACCCGTCACTGGAATCTTCTCCGGTTATGTTAATTCCATGCTGCAGGAATATGCAAAAAATCCATCTGTGAACTGGAAGCACAAAGATGCAGCCATTTACCTGGTGACATCTTTAGCATCAAAAGCCCAAACACAGAAGGTGATTCTTTTCAATATGGTTTTGCTTCTAAAACTGACTTGTTGGTAACCGAAGGAGTAACACACCTCTGATGATACAGCCTACCTGGCCTGGTAACCAAATGCAGTGTGTAATCATCTATTGTGCTGAGTAGAATTGAGGTAATCTCTGGAGATAGCTTTATGTTGATGTATTCAGTACTTAACATTTATTTTGGAACAAAAATGTACAGATGCCACACTCATTACCCCATGCTAAACTTAAATCTTGGTGTTTTTAATTTAAGGGCCATTTCTTTATTGCCTATTAAAATAGTCTTGTTTTACATATAAACAGTTATGTTCTGAAGTGTTTGTCTCCATTTTAACGTGTTTTTAGTGTTGCCCTTGATAATGGGGTAAATATGCATAAACACATTATCTCACTTTGTTAACAAATTTGCTTTTCAGCATGGGATTACGCAAGCAAATGAACTTGTAAACCTAACTGAGTTCTTCGTGAATCACATTCTCCCTGATTTAAAATCAGCTAATGGTGAGTTTTGTGAATTTTTTCTTTTGTACAAGTTACAGCAGTTAGTTGCTCGTATACCTGCAATTTTTTTCTTTATTCTTATATTACAGAATAAGTCATAATATGGCAAAAGTCCCATAAGGCTGTGTAAAACAATGATGCTCATAAACTATTTTTCTATTCTTGTTGCATTTATTACTTTTGCTGTTTATTGAATAGTATTAAATGGTTACTGCTGATTCTGCCCAGCTGAAATTAATTTTCAATAAAGAAACTTTTATTTGTATGTTGTTAAGTGCTGTCAATTTGGTTTTGACTCATATCGACCCTGTCTAGGTTTTCCAAGGAAGGGCTGGTGGGTTTGAACTAACCTTGCGGTTAACAGACAAGTGCGTATCCAAGAGTGCCACACCAAAAATCCATCACTTGTATGTTGTTGTTAGGTACCATCGAGTCAATATCAACTCATAGTGACCCTGTGCACAACAGAATGAAACACTGCACGGTCCTGGGCCAACCTCAAAATTGTTGCCATGCTTGAGCCCATTGATGCTGCCACTTTGCCAGTCCCTCTGACCCTCCACCTTACTAAACATAATATCCTTCTCCAGCATCTGGTCCCTCCTGACAATATGTCCAAAGTACGAGAGACGAAATTTGGCCATCCTGGCCTCCCAAGGAGCACTCTGGCTGCACTTCTTCCAACACAGATCTGTTTGTTCTTTTGGCAGTCCATGGTACTTTCAATATTCTCCAACACCATAACTCAATTCTTCTATGATCTTTCTTATTCACTGTCCAACTTTCGCATGTATATGAGGTTACTGAAAATACCATGGCTTGGGTCAGGCGCACCTTAGTCCTCAAGTTGACATCTTTGCTCTTCAACACTTTAAAAAGG